GCCATTTACGACCTATGTTGCAGATGGGATGGTAAGATTGGGTAGTACAAATCAATCATTACATAAAAAATTACTTACTGAAGAGCCGAGATTGATATCTATAAGCTCCGTCGCAAAGGATAGTCACAATTTTCTTTCCTGTGTAAGCGAAATCAAAGTTTTAGGCAGAAATTCAAGAACATTCGAACAACCAACAATCGCGTTCTTACCTGGTCCCAGTATGTGTGCCATTTCAACGGCAGCGACAACGTTTAGCGCTGTTGATGCTCCCATGTAGAGACCTTCTTCATCCAACAACCTGTAGACCATCTCGATAGATTTCTCGTCTGGAATATTCAGAGCATCGTCTATCAAGGGTATTTCGTTCTTAAGGTTCTCGGTGACGCGACCTTGTCCTATCCCTTCGGTGATGGAACTTCCCGAGCGTTCCAGCAGTTTTCCACCACTCTTGACATAATGGTATAACACCGAACCGGGCGGATCGGCGATGAATGACTTTATATTTGGATTTTGACCTTTCAAATATCGTGTCACTCCCGCAAAAGTCCCCCCAGTTCCGGTGGAACACGTAAATCCGTCCACCTGACCACCGGTTTGTTCCCAGATTTCGGGACCCGTGGTCTCAATGTGCGCGCGTCGGTTGGCGATATTATCAAATTGGTTGGTCCACACGGCATTCGGAATAGTTTCAGCGTGACGACGAGCCTGGTGGTTGTAGTTTTGCGGATCCTCAAAAGGGACGGCTGGAACTGGGTGAACTTCGGCTCCTGTTAATTTTCACCATAGATTGTGGATAAAACCCTTCTCGGAAAAATTATTTTTTTTTTTTTAAATTAGAAATCCTTGTGAACTCTTTCTTTACCGAGCATTCGAAGGAGGTCTATTTTTTCTTGACTTTGAGTGTTGGGCATGTAAATTACGCAATTGTATCCTTTGGCCCTGCATACATGGGCAAGACCGATTCCCGTGTTACCTGAAATCATCAATTTCAATCAATCAATGTTCATCTTCACGTTGACGACGTTGGAACCGCTTTCACCGAAGACCAGCAGCTTACCCGCAGTGCCCTCTACCACCGTACCACCAGTTGTGATTAAGCCTGAAAATATGGATGTTTGATTCGGTCAATGTGTCCAAAATTGTGATGAATCAATGCATTCTACGATTGCAATTTCACCTTTCTCTTCCGCTTCTTTGACCACGTACAGTGCGGCTCGGTCTTTTACAGAACCACCGGGATTCATGAATTCGGCCTTCGCGAGAATGTCCGAACCCGTTTCCTTACTGAGCGTTTTCAGACGCAGCTGCATCAATTCGATTTTTTTTTTTAAAAAAAAAGCTTCTTTGTGTAAGTTCGGGGATTAAAGTGGCCGAGGGTAACCGGCATTTCCTTACCAGAGGTGTGTTTCCAATCGCGCCAATAAAGCCGTCAACGAACTTTTTTTGGAATTTTCGTTAGTCCACAATACGTGCTTTGAGAATAGGTGATCGTATGTGTGACTCACCTTGTTCGACGAAGCAGAGGAAAAACGGGCGAATTGTTGAGGTCGAAATTTTAGCATGATAAAGAGGATGAAGGATGAAAAGATGAAAAAAGGTGAAAGGTGAAGTGCTCAAAATGATGATGCAATATGACGAGATCTCATAGATAATTTATTTCGTGCAACCGTGCTTAAGTACGGTGACACGAAAAGGTGGGAATATTGTGGATTCAAATTTTTCACGCGTTGCCATAAAAGCATGAGCCGGTACATCCTGTCACCCGTTGTTTTTCAGACCAGCGCCGACGTGGATCTTTATGTGATCCAGACTTTTGGCAAGCTCGCCTCGCCCGAACGCATTCGACAATCGTGGCTCTCAGTTGCGACCTTGTATTTAAACATCGGAGATTTGGCTCAATCCGAAAAATTTCTTTTGGAATTGTTAAGAGTACAACCTCATCATAAAGAGGTGAAAACCTACAACTCAGGTTATTTTCCGATTTTGTTGAAACCTGAATAGCTTGTAATCGTAAGGAATAACTTTCTTTTTTCTGAATAGGCCAATGATCTTCTTGGTACCGTATACAGAAGGCAAGGCCGACTGGAGTTAGCCTTGGAATTTTACGAGAGGCAAGAGAAAGCGTGGGGGGATCGTGCATATGAAATGAAATTAATTAATTCTTTTGATTAATTTATTGGGAACAGAGCTCTTTGCGATAAGAATGCTCCGCAAATTCACGCCCTTGACGGTAAACCTTCCAAAGTTACATTTTACTGTCGTTCAAAGGTTCACCGCGGAACTTGTTTGTGACTCTTTTTTAAAAAAATTTTCAAAAGCCGCCGAAATTTGCATCCAATTGGCAAGAAAGCAGAGCAATGAAACTGAAATAAAAAAACTTGTAGATAAATCTTTATTTTGGATTGAAAGGTTTGTCATGAGTAAAATTTTGTACTTTGCCATCTTGCATTGGCTAAATCTATTTACCTAATGAAACCAGGACGCGCCTTGCGAATAAAAAATATGTCCCTCAAGCGGTGCAATTATTACATAAAGCCTGCGACATTCTCATTCGACATGCTGAGAGACAATCCGATAAACGAGGTTGCCTGAAACGTCGTAAAGGAAATGCACCAGGTATCATACGAGCTTCATGGTGACTTTGTGATTTTCTTTTGATGATTGAATGTTGCCATTTTTTTATCTTCTCAGCGGTCGTCAATTCTCAGTGGATTAATGATTCGATGAAAGAGCTGTTGACGGTGGAGGAAACCTTTATCGATCCCGGTTTACACGTGATTCTTACGAAAGCCGTTCTAAAACTCAAAGATTATCAGCGGTAATTATGCGCACATCGAATCCAGTTAAAACACGGTCACGATCTTTGTTGACAATATTCTTTCTTTGATACAAGCGCATGGAAGCATGTGGTTCAGCGTCGTTACAATTTCGTCGATAATCTCGAGTGGAATATGTTTGTCAAAAATACGTTTCAGAAACGTGCCGTTACTGATAATTCCAAAGAGACATCACACGAGACCACAGAGATGATCTTCTTTGCTTATGATAACGTGGTCAGATTGTCTTTGAAGTTTAAGTGAGGGATCATTTCATCTACTTTGCAAGCGAAAAACACGTCATTTGTATAACTTTATTAACTATCAGTTTGTGACCGAAGGTCATGTGATGAATCCGGAAAACTTGTGAAGCAATTTTCTGACCTTGTTAATGCCTGGGATCTATCGTCACAAAATGTTCATCAGCTGGAAAAATGGACTCGCTATCAACAGGTTTTGTAATAATTGCTAATACGTGTGATATTTGAGGAACGAGGGGGAAGGGATGTGTAAGTTGTAAGACTCACATTGTGACGATCTAAAAGGAATACCGATCTCGAAGTTTACGCCATGATGGTTATTTCCAGTTGAAGATAGCCTCTTCGGATCTAAGTTATTTCCGGTCCGTGGATTCAAAAACGACAAGGAGGAATCAAGAATATATAAATGCGGCCTACTCTAAATTTAAAGCGTGCCTATCCTTTCGCAGAGAGATTTTCCGCGATCCTACTCGCTCGATCGGTCATTTCAAATATCTGATGTGTCAACGTATAAGCGACGTTTCACATCAGTTGCTACTTCTTCTTCAATGTTTCGATTACGAGTGGCTTAACAAAAAAACCAACGCGATTCAAGCCTTGAGAAAACTTGGTCAGGATGAGGAAGACGTTAAGCAAAATTTTGTTTTGCCCAAGCACAAACGTCTTATCAAAGACTTGTACCAAGGTGTTGGTGAGAATAATTTGAAGGAGGCGGGTGTCCTCAAATGGTTGACCAGAACCCTGCACCACATTGATAAGATAATTTCTATTGCTCCTTACGATTTGGATCGGTACATGACTTCTTCTTTCTTTCTGAAAGTTTTCATTCGAAACCATTAATCATCATTTTTTTTTTTTCACGCATCTAAAGATTTTTGACGGTTTCCGCATGGCATTTGGAAAATGGTGTTCTTCGGGATTGGTTGAGAGACATTTTTCCGAGACTACTGGATTTCCCAAAGGTATTCAACTTTTTATAACAACCACTTCATGTTTTTAAGAATGAGGGTTACATTCAAGCCTCCTATTTTGAAGGTCCCCAAACCGGAATTACCTATCGACAAGTCGCAGTCGTCGTCTTCCTTTCGAGACATTACTTCGTTATTTGTCAACGTTTCGTCTGGTGATCAGTTGGGAGCCGGATTTGCGCAGTTCCTGTCGAGACAAGATGTGAAAATAACAAATCACTCCGCCGTAGAACCTCCGACACTGGTGGATGTTGAGTTTTTCCTTTTAATGCTCCTCGTGCAAAGACATTATCATTGCGTCGTCGAAGGAGGAGCGGAAACGATAGGTCAGATTTTGTATTTGGAAGCGAAAGGTCATTGGAAACCGAGTGAAAGTCAGAGGAGGTTTTGGTGGACGCTGTTGAATCTATATGGAAAGGTACTCGCATGTCCGTGCACTGGTTATGCGGCGATTTTGTTTTACCGTGATTTTTAACGCTCTCCCCTTCCACCAGAATGATCAAGATAAAAGAGTCTACACAGGCGACATACTATCCAATCAAGAATTCTTACAGTGTCTCACGGAGATTCGCGGTGAATTCGATCTTCAAGAGTACGACTGCGATAACAATTCTGCTATCATGCTACAAAGGGATTTGTATTTGTTGATGGCTTCCGTTTTTAAGGTGTGTAGTAGAATCCTCAATTTCTGATAGATCTCCATCCCTGAAGTTAACTCTACCTCCCAAAAATGTGTACCAGGGTATGATCACGCATCACCGTCAGTCCCGATCAACCGAGGGTTTACGGTGTATTGATATTTACCAGAATTGGGACAAGAACTCTTCTAAAAAAGTGTCTTCTGGTTCTCCCAACGTTAAAAAGAGGAAAAAATTTGTAATATTTGACTTTGATATCAAAGATCCCGGGTACCGAATGTACGATTCATTTTCATTTTTTTGTTATTAGGAAAATCTTTATTCTTGCTTGCTTACCTCTGTGCGCTAACCTATCGATAATTCTTAGGTTTATTCCAATTAACGAGGCTTCCGAGGCCAATGACTTGATCGAACACTTGTCATCGATATTCCTTGATGATGGGAATGGTTCTGTGCGACAACAGGATCAAATAACGCAATGGGATACGTTTGATGACTATGAAAGCTTTATCGAGGAAAAATTGATTGATAATGTATCGACATCACCGATCAAGGATCCAAAAGATGATGAAGTGCAGCAGCCAGAAAATAATGATAAGGTTGTCATCATTGACGAAGACTCGGTGTCATTGATGGATGAAAGTTTATTGTCTGGTGAAGACTTTGACGAAGATTATTTTACACCATCTATGACTGCTCCTAAAGAAGAATTTGATGCACT